GTTACAGAGACTAGTGTTTCCCGACTAGACCACATCTGGACCAATACCATATCCCCCTTGAGATCAGGCATAATCACGTAATACCACAGACCATTACCCTACCTTCCTCATAAACCTTGGCAAATTACCCCTAGATACTACTAAAGTCACTTTCAGACTTCACAATGAGGCAGCTATCAATAACTTCACAGCAGCAGTGACAAACATTGACTGGCACACTGAGCTAGAAATCTATACAGATATTGACAAATGTATTAATAATTTTCTAAAAAAGACCCAATACCTCTATAACAAGCACTGCCCTAAAAAAAAAATCTAAACAGATGACTGCAAAGAGACTGAACAGTCCCTGGCTAACACCCAGTATCCTCAAATCCATAAATACCAAGCACCTATACGAAAAGAAGTACAGAATGGGCCACATAACCAGAGACCAAACAAAACGTTACTCGTCAATCCTAACCAGCCTAATAAGAAGGACTAAAAAATTTTATTCAAATTCAATTCAAATTCAAAGTTTATTCTCTATAAGGATTACAATGCTGAGTTTACAGAATTTGGTTATTGTGTGGTTTACATGTAGTAAAATAATAGTTACAGAGTGTACCACTAGAACACCTAGCATGGCTAGGCATTTCGGGCAGACTTAGATTAAATCTTAAGTTTAAAATATTACAAAATTATGAGGTAAGTTGGTATTATGGCTAAGTGACTAAATACTAGTTTGTGAGTTTAGCAATGTGAATGCTTTTGTTTTGGCACTACACAGTTTCAGTATGGGAGTATCACAGGCCAACTTATGACTAATTAAGATTCATTATTTTGAGATTGAGATTGATATTTCTGTTTATGGTCAAATGGGTGAGTAAGTGTTAACCACCAGGTGGTATTCGTGTAATTAGTTGACATTGTGTATCAGGGAGACAAGATGTTTTCTGATGGTAGTTTTGAAGGTGATGAAGGTGTCTGCAGTTTTAGAATTTTCAGGTAGGGTGTTCCAGATTTTAGGGCCTTTGACATACATTGAATTTTTGTAAAGGTTTAGTCGGAGACGGGGAATGTCAGAAATGTTTGTGTCTGGTGTTGTGCCTGTGGGTTCTGTCACAACTATCAAGAAAGCATTTTAGGTCAAGGTTAATATTGGAATTTAAGGTCCTGTAGATGTAGATTGCAGAGTAGTAAGTGTGGATGTACTGAACAGGGAGTAAGTTTAGATCTATGAAGAGTGGGGGTCGGGGTGTTGCCAAGGATGGGATTTAGTGATTATTCTTACTGCAGCTTTTTGTTGGGTTATTATTGGCTTTAGGCATGTTGCTGCAGTTGAACCTCAAGCACAGATATCATAGGTGAGGTATGGACATATAAGTGAATGGTATAGTGCGAGAAGGGCAGTTTGCGGCATGTAGTATCATATCTTGGAGAGGATCCCAGCCGTTTTGGATACTTTTTTGGTTACGTGTTGGATATGGGTGCTGAAGTTCAGGTTGTTGTCGAGGTATAGGCCTAGGAATTTGCCCTCATTATGCCTGGCAATTAGAGTCTTGTCGATCTTAATGTTAATTTGCGCATCTCCTGTTCTGCTACCAAACATAATGTAGTAGGTTTTGTCAGTGTTAAGCGTAAGTTTATTGGCGGTTATCCAAGTCGATATTTTGATCAGCTCCTCATTAACAATGGTGTTGAGGGTGGCAAGACTAGGGTGAGAGATGACATAAGTCATGTCGTCAGCAAAGAGAATGGGGTTCAGGTGTTGAGATACGTTTGGAAGATCACTGATGTATATGAGGAAGAGCAGGGGACCAAGGACACTTCCCTGCGGAACTCCAGTATCAAGTGGCCGTGTTGTTGATGCTGTGTCTTTAATGGTGACATACTGATACCTATTAATAAGGTAAGATTTGAAACATGCAAGCGCATGGCCTCTTATACCATAATGGTCAAGTTTGTGGAGTAGGATGCCGTGGTCTACTGTGTCAAAAGCTTTTCTTAGATCAATAAAAATTCCTAGTGGATATTCCTTATTTTCCAATGCTGTGTAAAGCAGATCTAGCATTGAGTTATTTTTAAGTGACTTTATAATCTCGGTGACTTCCGTGGGCTCAGTTGGAGCAAGATAGGAATTTGGGAAATTCCCATCTAGGTAGTCCCCGGCATGGGCATTGGTACGTGGGATTTTATTGGCGAGATTAGAACCTATGGTTGAGAGGAAGTCATTTATCTTGTTAGCTGTGTCAGTGGGATGCAGTGGTGTTTCATTAGGTTTAGTTAGGACAATATTCTTGTTTTTTTTCAGTTTGTGGGTCCCTAGAATCTGAGTGTGTGTTTTCCAGGTCTTTTTTATATCTCCTCTTGTGTCAGTGAATCTACTGGAGTAGTATAATTGTTTGGCTTTCTTTATTACTTTGGTGAGGACTGATGAATAGTGTTTAAGAATATCTTTGTGTATTAAGCCTTGTCTATATTGCTTTTCATATTGGAGTTTCTTATCAGTGGATTTCAGGATGGTGCTGGTTAGCTATGGGCAACCAAGCCGTTTGTTTGTGATGTTTCGTTTTTACAGGACAATATTATGAGAACAGATTATCCAACTTACGAGGTGACATAAAAAACACCTGGAAAACCCTATCAGAAATACTAGGAACAAAAAAGATAACACGAAATAGCGAAATTGAATTAACAAAACCAGATGAACCCCAATTCCCACCTACTGAAACAACAAACAGACTCAATGATTTCTTTTCCACTATAGGAAAAACCTTGCCAATAAAATCCCAAGCTCAGATACCCCCACCCAATGACTACCTCACTGGCAACTACCCGAACACACTGTTCCTAGCTCTGACTAACCCAACTGAAGTCTCCCTTATTATCAACAAACTAAAAAACAAGACAGGAGAATTAAATACCTTACCACCCATTAAATACAAAAAAGTCACAGGTGCTATCACCAATCATTGCAACACTAACAAATCCATTGAATCCTCTACCTTTCCTACAGTTCTCAAAAATAGCAAGGGTCACCCCGATCCATAAAGGAGGAGACCACACAGACTTGAATAACTATAGGCCAATATCCAACTTACACCCTCTCTCTAAAATCTTTGAAAAATTAATCCATAAGTGTATCTATTCCTACCTCATCTCCCACATCATACTCAACCCCTGTCAATTTGGGTTCAGGCCTAATAAAAATACTAATGATGCTATTATCCACATGCTAGAACATATTTATACAGCAATAGAGAAAAAAAAAGTCCCACTGGGGATCTTCATTGACTTATGTAAAGCTTTTGATACAGTTGACCATGACTTGCTCCACATAAAATTGTCGCACTATGGTATAAGAGGGCACTCCCTCAACTACCTAGTCATACCTCAGCAACAGAAGCCAATGTGTGTACACAAATGGGGCAAACTCTTCCGCACAGCCAATTACAGTTGGTGTCCCACAGGGAAGTGTCCTAGGCCCTCTTCTCTTTCTCATACATAAATGACCTACCAAATGCATCGCAACTACTCAAACCCACACTATTTGCAGAGGACACTACATACGTCTACTCTCACCTGAGCCCAGTCATGCTAGCCAATACTGTAAATACCGAATTACAGAAAATATCAACCTGGATGAGGACCAACAAACTTACTCTAAACATTGACAAAACCTACTACATTCAGTTTGGTAACAGAGCTGCAGATGTGTCTCTTAACACAATGATAAATGGATCACGTATCACAAAACACACAAAGGGAAAATTCCTAGGAGTCCACCTTGATAATACTCAAATTTCACACACACATGCAACAATTTCCCAAAAAAATTTCCAAGACCGTAGGCATACTATCGAAGATACGGTACTATGTTCCACAGTCAGCCCTCCTTGCCCTGTATGACTCGCTTATTTACCCCTATCTCACCTATGGAATTTGTGCATGGGGCTCAACAACAATAAACCATCTCAGACCACTAATCACCCAACAAAAGGCTGCAGTCAGAATGATGATAAATTCCCACTACAGACAGCACACTCCAATATTCAAAACCCTAAACCTACTCACAATACAAAACATCCATACTTATTACTGCACCTACTACATACATAGAATACTCAACTCTGACAAACCCTTCCCTCAAACATCTCCTTACCAACCTCAACAGAACACATGACCATAACACAAGGCACAGATCACTCTTTGATGTTCCTTGTATCCATCGCACGCTATGCTAAAACTCAATGCACCATAAGAGGCCCTAAAATCTGGAATTCATTACCTGTGAATATAAAAGAAACACTGTTTATAAATTCAAGTCTTCTCAAAAATCGCTTGCTCACCCACAGCTAAATAAATACTGAATAATTGTATCTCGTAAATTGTATCTCATATGTATCTCATTGTATCTCATAAATGTCAACCCGTGACCCAATCAAACTTTACTATTTAACTTCATTACCTAACAGAATATTCCATTCTACTGATTACACAGCAACACAGTAAATGACCATATGACTTGTCTTTCTAACACTTATTTGTACTAAATTATCTGTTTTATAATAATTTTTGTACCACTGAATATATTATTGTTTAGTTAATCTTAAGTTAATTTTAAGCCTGCACATAATGCTCTGCATACAAGGGGCTTTGGCATGCTGCACTTTAAAAATTTTATTCCTTGTACTTCTCTATCATGTTCAAATTAATAAAGCATGCAAAGAACAGATTGTGTAAAGGTCCTTCATGCAATACTGTAAATGTAGTAAAACATGCTCGGCTGTAACAGGATTACTATACTGAATAGATCTAAAGTTATCATTTCATTATAGAATACCATTACAATACATAGTTTTTCAAATCACCGTTTAATATGTAGAGAAGAAGAAAAGGTAGGCTTTCATACAAGCAATGATGATCTTAGGAAGAATTGATACACATCCCATTTAAAATAATGATGAAAAGAATTGATAAATTGCCAGCAAACAAAATGAAATAAGAGGAAAGGTTACCTGCAAGGACGTAATGGCTTTAGCATTACAGGTAAGGTTCATCATATGATGGACGAGCGTGCTGCCAGTCAAGATAATATCTTTGCGACTTGGAGTGAAGGGCTTTCCATCACTGGTAAGAAAGTAGCGTCCACTCAGATGCAGAAGTTTGGTAATGATAAAAGCTTGTATGCATTTCCTGAGTAGTTCTTGTGAAGACAGTTTTTCTTTGTTAGTTACCAGGTGATACACTGATCTGTAATGTTTCTCATCATAGATTCCTTCCTTGTTAAAGCCATGATTCTTTGGGGATTTTTTTTTGGCTTCAAGTCGCAGCAGTGGTATCATTCCCTTGAGTTTGGCATGAGATGTCTTCATCATTATTCTGTATGCCAATGCAGGACACTTTTTCATGTCTAGTGCAAAGAGTGTTGGTAAAATAGGGCATTCTTGCCAATGGATCCCTGACATTCCGTCTGTACGACACTCCACACTACAAAATATCACCTAAAAAAAGATAATTAAAATGCAATTCTATATTGTATAACTGCACAAATCTCAAAATACAAAACCAACAGCATTTAATCACAAAAATGGTACAGATCTAAATTTACCAATTACTGTATATGTACTATATTATTATTATAATGAAAAAGTACATGTACTCCTCTACATTCCTGTCTGACACAGCAACATCTTGGGATCTTAATATAGAGAATTCTTCGACTTGCCTAACCCTTGGGCACAACCTGCTTCCACATTCGTCAAATGTGATACCACCTACGGCTGCTGCACCTCTCCTGCCTACAGTATACAAGCCACTTCTTCACACATGTGCTGTATTTGTTTCAAGACTGATGGACTGACCTCATCAACTCAAGGCTGAGGGACTGCTTACCTCAAACTCATCCTGCTCTTCACCATTCTCCTCTGTATGGACTGATGAAGCCACTGTATGGCAAAATGTTTCCTCATTAAAGATACCCAAATGTTGCACACATGTCTAATTTATCAACTTATCAGTTCTGTGAACCATTCATCTACAGTACATGTACTGTAAAAATGATGTAGGTGGTCTACTGTTAAAAGCACAAGATGTGTTAGTATTGGCACTTAGTGAGAAATTTATTCTTGGGTCATATACAGAAGTGACTTAGGGTGCCAAGCATTTATTCAGAAGAGAAGTGCTCTGCATGTCTTTCTCAGCCCCATGTTTGTCAAAAGTCAACTAATGGGGTCATAGTACTTACAGAGAAGCCTGAATATTAAAAAAATATTCAACTACTGGTGGCACTTACGGCTAGGAGCAAACCATACCATGGGCGGGATTTGAACCCGCGGTCAGAGTTTCAAAACTCCAGACCGTCGCGTTAGCCACGTGGTATGGTTTGTCTGCAATTGTGTCATTACGATTTCATGAGTCATGTCCGGCTAGAAGCAGTTGAAATACAATCCAAAGAATCAAATGATTAATAATTTATTATAACCAAGTTAAAACACACAACTACACAAGCACTATTTAAACAATGTAAAATTATACATAGAAAACTAAATACTAATTTTCATTTCATTAAAAAAAGTATTAGAACAAGCTTGTTTGTACTCTCATTTACTTATGTGTTTAATCAGTACTGTGAAGTTCCCAAATACACATTGTAGATATTATTCTAGTAACAGATTGTTGTTACATCATTTTTTATCATCATTAGTTTGAGGGCTGATGGCTGGCCAAGTCCACAGGTTGGAGGATAAGTACTGATGACGTGTTTTCCCTACCAAAGAGTCCATGACCTACCACAAATGAGATGGATGGATTGTGTGAGCACTTGTTATGCCATGATCCACAAATGGACTCCCACCTCCTGAAACATACTGTAATATGGTTAAGACTTCCCTGCAGCAACTGTAGACTGACACCCAAATCATCATTCCCAGGTGCAGCTGATATTTTGAAAGAGCTGCCATTAATATGACTCAAGAGAGCTTGCATCACACTTGGTTGTTGGACCTGGGGATGCAAGGGGTGGCCAGTAGAACCCAGAGTGGGAAGTTTTATAGTCAAGAAATGACCCTTTAACTCTAGTCTTGCTTTGAGTCGGGGACTTCTTGCTGTTTAATTTATAGCTCGTAACACTGCTAAACTTCATGGGGAAGTGGAACAGAATTCCTCCTCCATAAGCCATACGTGTCATAAGAGGCTACTAAAATGCCAGGAGCAACGGGGTAGTAACCCCTTCTTTATAAATTACAAAGAAACTTTCGTTGTCCTCATCATTATTAAGCTTGATCTTCTCAGGGTTGGCAACTGCAGTTTCTCCAACCCACTTCAACTCATCTATTATGCCTGTCTTTTGAGGAAAATCTAATCATATGGTTTTTGGAGGTAACCGAGAGAACTTTCGACTTCTTGCTTCAAACTATGTCGAACCTGTCATATACCTCAAACTTACTTGCATCATTTATTTGCCTACATTATCCACCTCGCCTATGTTTCATATGATGTGTTCTGCACTGAATAGTTATGGTTCCTCAAATGGAAGCAAGGGGCACTTCCAGGATGGATCAGGTGTATATCCCCACTCACCTGGGCTAGCAAAATCCATAACTATTCCATAGGTAGATAAAAGAAATTGGCTGAGTATGTACACATGAGAGAGGACCTAGGTGGGGCTAGTAGATAAGCTTGAGAAGTACCATGTTATCAATAGTGTATCATTGTTTAAACAATTCACATTCTAAACCAGTGTAACAGCCAGCTTCTCCATTAGTGTAGTCAAAAGCATAGCCTTACCAGTGAACAAGCTCACAGCTGAAATGGGTCTGCTATCTCAGACACTCATCTTGGTTGTTAAATAATAATACATTAAACTATTCAATATTTATACAGTCAACTCCTAGTTTAAGTCTGTAATGTTGTGCATAACTTACATAATTTCCATTAAGGAAATAAACTAGTAGCCCATACTTGAAACTTAATGAGCTGAAGCATAACTGAACTTATAAAATGCATCTTCATTCAAGGAAAAAAACTTACAATACGGTAAACCCTTCATATAGTTGACTAAGAGGCGAGTGGAGTGGTGGGCTGCGAATGGTGAGTATGGTGAATAAAGAAAATTGTTTTGCCATAGTCATAACAAAAACACTTCTGTAATCAACAATTAAGATTTTTTCAAGTTTCCAAATCAAGTGACCTAGGGGATTTTGTCCTGAATTTCTGAGGTGCATTCAATCAAAGGATGAATGTACTGAAATAGCTTATCAAGCCTGATTATTTTGATATATATTCATGGTGAACATATTAGTGCCTAGGGAATGGTAGTTAATCAAGTTTGATCTGAAGCTGGGAAGGGTAGCTATAATACCTTGGATAAGAACCTTAAAACAGCATAGAGAAACTCCTTTTGAAGGGGAATATGAAACCATAAAAACTTAACATTCTAACCATATTGCAGTTGGGGCAGGGTATAGGGGTCATGCTTCTTCTTAAGCATACAGTACAGTGCACTACTGATGTCTCCATGAACACTGTGTTGCAATACCCATCATCAACGCTCACTATCTCGCCTGGAAAAATTACAATTTATTAAAATAAAAGCTATAATGCCATAACTAGAACAATTCACAGCTAACCTACAATGAGGGAAACTTGGACCCAAACCCAACCATACTAACAGACACTAAGTGCCAAACTACTAAAAATATCTACTTGGATGACCAACAAACTTACTCTCAATATAGACTAAACCTACTTCATGCTACTTGAAAAGAGCTACAAATGTACAACTTAATACTAATAAATGGTTCATCCATTTCTAGACACACAGATGGCAAATTTCTAGGTCTCCACCTAGACTGCAATCTCAAATTCCAAACTCGCATACAGCAAAACAGTAGGTATCCTCTCAAAGATACAGCACTATGTACCCCTATCAGCTCTTCTTACTCTATACCACTCTCTCATCTACCCTTACCTCACCTATGGTATTGGTGCATAAGGCTCAACCACAGCTAGTCACCTTGAACCTTTAATAACCCAACACAAAGCTGCAGTGTGATTGATTACAAACTCCTGTATTAGACAGCATACTCCTCCAATTTTCAAGAGTCTAAACTTGCTTAATATACAAAACATTAAACACTTATTATTGTGCCTACTATATGCACAGAACACTACACTCGAATATAAATCCTCCTCTCAAACTACTACTCGATAACTGCAACAGAACATACAACCATAATACAAGACAAATCACTCTTCGATATCCCTCATGTCCATCTCTCCATGTGCAAAAATGCTATGCACATAAAGGGCCAGATCTGAAATTCATTACCAGAACACGCTAAAGGACCCCTGCCTGCAAATCAATTTAAGGTCCTACTTAGAAATTTCATAATCGCCCAAAATTAACCAGAAACCATACTTAACCCTTTCAGGGTTTCAGCCGTACTAGTACTGCTTACGCGCCAGGGTTTTTGACGTACTAGTACGCGGGAAAAGGCTGGTAGGCCTAGATGTGCGAGAATGGGTGTGGGGGGTTGGTGTGCGTGGTAGAAAAAAAATCGGACCCAGAAGTGCACTGTGGGAACACCATTTTAGTAGACCTTGTTCACCATGCCTCGTGATAAGAAGCTCCTCACTCCTCGGCGAATTGGGACACTTTTGTTCCCCAGTGGCAGTTCTAATACAGATGGAAGTGCCAGTGCTAGTGGTGATTGCAAAGTGAAACCTTTATTAGTGTAACACTCAAACTCCCAGAGCGTTCAGGCAAAAGAATATCCTCAAGGCTAATTTGTGTGTGCTGTGGAGGGCAAACAATAAGGCATGGGTCACTAGGGACTTTTTCTAAGACTGGTTACACCAAGCATTTGCCCCCCCCCCCCACTGTGAAAAATTACCTAACTGAAAAGAAATTAGACCTTAAGTGCCTCCTGGTGTTAAACAATGCCCCTGGTCATCCTACAGACTTGGCAGAGCGACTTTGTGGGGACATGAGCTTCATTAAGGTGAAGTTTTTTGCCTCCTAATACCACTCCTCTCCTGCAGCCCAAGGACCAGCAGGTTATTGCAAACTTCAAAAAACTGTACACAAAAGCTCTGTTTGAAATGTGCTTTGTAGTGACCTCAAACTCAATTGACTAAGAGAGTTTTGGAGAGATCACTAATATCCTCAGTTGTGTAAACGTTATAGGTAAGGCTTGGGAGGGAGTGACTAAGAGGACCTTGAACTCTGCTTTGAAGAAACTGGCCAGAATGTGTAGACCAAAGGGATTTTGAAGGATTTGAGGCTAACCCTGAGTAGTATGCCAGTTGAGGAATCAATTGTGGCATTGGGGAAGTCCTTGGGGTTGGAGGTTAGTGAGGAGGATGTGGAAGAGTTGGTGGAGGAGGACAATGAAGAACTAACCACTGATGAGCTGCTAGATCAACTTCAACAGCAAGAGGCCACACCTGAGGAAATTGCTTTGGAGGAGGGGAGAGAGAAATTGAAGTTGCCTACTTCAAAGATAAAGGAAATCTCTGCAAAGTGGCTTGAAGTGCAAACCTTCATGGCTGAAAATCACCCTCAGACAGCTATTGCAAGCCGTACTGGTGACTATTACACTGACACTGTTGTGAAACACTTTAGGAAAGTCATAAAGGAACGAGAAGTACAGGCCACTATGGACAGATATGTTGTGCGACAGAAGTCCAGCGACTCTCAACCTGGTCCTAGTGGCATTAAAAGAAGGGAAGCAACCCCAGAAAAGGACTCGACACCTCAAGTCCTAATGGAAGGGGATTCCCCTTCTAAACACTAAAACCATCCAGTCTCCCCTCCCATTCCATCAATCATCACCACATCTTCAATAAAGGTATGTGTCATGTATTATTATTATAATCAAAAAGAAGCGCTAAGCCACAAGGGCTATACAGCGCTGCAGGGTAGGGAAGGAAGCAAGGGAATTGAATGGCAGAAGGGAGGGGGGATGATCAGCAGGTTACAGAAAACAGCGGGGCAGGGGATAGTACGGGGGTAGAGGGTAGCAAGAGATTGAAGTAGAAAGGGCTGAAGGTATCAGAATTTGTGAAGTCAGTCAGTTGTCAAAAAGTCAATGAGAGAGTCCGGATGAAAGGTGGGTCCATCAGCGAGAAGGGAAGGTAAAGAGAGCAGCGGAGCGAAGACGACGACAGAGGTAAATTCTGCGTGCTCGTTGATAAAGTGGGCAGTCCAACAGAATGTGGCTGACTGATAATGGAGCTTGGCAATTCTCACAGAGGAGCAAGACGCCTCTCCATGAGATATCCATGAGTAGGACGAGTATGGCCAATGCGAAGACGGGAGAGAGTAGTCTCCCAACCTCGACACTGGTGATAAGAAGACGGCCAGTAACCTATACTCGGTTTAATAGATTGAAGTTTGTTACCGAGCAGAGTTGACCAACGTTGTTGCCAACGGGTGCGAACGGTGGGTACTGTTGCCAGCAAAATAGTCAGAATGGAACACCTCGATAGGAAATGGTAGTCCAGTACTGCTGACCGCGCAGCAGTGTCTGGCCTGTTTCATTGCCCTGTACGTTGACATGACCAGGGACCCGAACAAAAAACAATATCTTTATGTTTGGTAGAGTTAACGGCGAAGCCAAAGTTGGAAACGGAGAACTAGGGGATGAGATGTATCAAATTTTCGTATAGCCTGTAAGCCACTAAGGAGTCTGAGACACTACAAATTATGACACAGGCATAGTTGCGATAACGAATAAGTGCTGCAAGAATGGCATACATTCAGCATTAAAAATCTAGCTGAAGATAGTAATGCCCCCCGTATGACGCTGTCCGAAAAACAGCTGCGAATTCCGACGCCGTCCTGAAGACTTAGAGCCATCTTGTACACAGGGTGGCATGAGATGGGAGTGGAAGTGATGAAGAAAAAGAGAGCGGGGAAGCCACCGTAGGGCAGTTAAGCTTTCCCGAGCAGGGAGTGAGAAAGAACAGGACCCGAACAGCTTGAAACTTCCCAGGGGGGAAGGGAAAAGCCGAGATGCAACATGACATATACAGGTGGTAACAGAAGTGAAGACAAAGTGAATGTAGGCAAAGAGAAAAGGGACGGAAGCAAACGGGCGGCGAACGAAATAAAGAATGTCTACTAATATCGGTGACCATTCTTATAAATGGAGTGAGGATGTGTGTAGAAATCGTGAGAGCGTCATATTAACGAAGGCAATGGGCATCACGGCGACAGACAAGGATGGAACATTTGCATCTGTATAGAGTGGCGTCTCAACAGGGAAGACGAAAAGCACCAATGTCACAAACGTAGCCTTGGTGATGGATAGAGTTAAGGCTAGAGAGAGTAGCAGGATAGGCCGCTGAATAAATCTGTCAAAACATAATCGAGTTTCGAAAGAACGAGGGCTGAATGTAGGCGAAGCAGAGTTCGACGGATCATACCCCAGGAAAGATGAGCAAGGGTTTTAAGAAGGTTTAACCGCTGTGACAGTTGCCATCAGAGATGTAATGTGAGGGTATTCCGGATAACCGACGGTCAAAAGAGAAGGCCTAGAAACCTGACTATCACGTTCGGGGATATGGTAGCCTAGAGATACAAAGGATGATCGAGATAACAGAGGCGTCTAGTGAAAGTAATTTGGTGAGTTTTTGGTACTTGAAAATTTAAACCCATGTGTGGTGGCCCAATGGAAACACGGTCGAACCGCATGCCGGAGAGAAACTGCAATAAGGTGACAGTCAGCAGCGCCTGCAACAAGCAATAGCGAAGTCATCAACAAGAGTGGATGACCATATATTGGGTGGAAGAACAAGGCCAAATCATTTTATAGCAAGGAGAAAAAGTGTTGTGCTTAGAACACATCCCTGAGGTACAACCTTCAGCTTGGACGGAAGTCCGGGGAAGAACATTATTTGACTCGAACACGGAAATGTCTGTCAGTTTAAAACAGTTCTAAGGAAGGATGGTAAGATTGCCTCGAGCCTAAGGAATGGGCCTGGGCCAAAAAAATTATACCTCCAAATTGTTGTCCTAAATATGCCTGTCTCAAGGTCAAAAAATATGGAAATAACCGAGTGATATTCGCAAAGGCATTACGAACATATGTTCCAAGCTATTAAGGGGTCTAATGGTAGGAACAACCCTTACGAAAGCCATATTGACTCGCGGGAGAGACTGTTGTGAGTCTCTAAATAACCACATTAAAACGTCGGGCGAATTAGAGGCGTCCATCACTTTGCAAACTGCACTAGTAAGAGCGATGGGCGATAGTGGGAGCATCATGTCCTGTATTACCCGGTTTGCGGAAAGGGAGAACAATGGCAGATTTCCACAGCTGGGGAAGAACTCCTTGTGCCCAACTAAGATTGAAGATGGTTAAGAGGACTAACAAGGGGCGTGACCGATGAAAATGTTTGTAACAAACGAAAATTAATTTCATCAGGGCCCAGGCTGCCGATGCATCGGCAAGCTGAGAGCGTTGCCTCCAGTTCTTGATGTAAAAGGCACATTATACTGTTCTTCTTCTCGAGAGAAGAGACGTCCAAGGGTACTAACTCTCTGGCAGACTTTGAGGAAAGAA